GCGAGGACAGGGGCAGAAAGGAGGGAAACAGGCCATGTGGATCTTTACTACGTGATAAAGGCAGCCCTTCAAATCAGTGAGGAAGGATGAAGGCGTCGGTAAAGGTCCCTGGGACAATTAGCTGTCTTGTTCTAACAAACATCATACACATTTAACTGCATTACAGAGCCAAATAGAAAAATTATGAAAATATTAGAAAAACTGAGAAAACAGTTTTATAATCATAAGAACTTCCTAAACATGAGACGCAGAATCCACCAAAGAGTAACAGCTTTGATGACACTTAAAATAACTGTTTTCAATTTCTCTACTGAAAAGTTAAAAGGCAAATGGAGGACCAAGATAAATATTTGCAAAAACTAACCAAAAATGAATATCCATAATATACAAAAGCTTGTCTCCTACAAATCAATATGAAAAAAGACAGATAAGCCAATAGAAAAATGGGCATAGAGTCCAAACAGGCCATTACGGAGAAAAGAGAAAAGAACAATAAACTAATGAAAAGATAGTTAATTTCCCTAGTAATGAGGAAATTGAAAATAAAAACAATAATAAAATGCCATTTCCCCTATCTGATTAGCAAAAGTTTAAAATATTGATAACATTCAATGTTGACGGCAATGGGGAGAAGGCCGCGCTCTCTTACACTGTTCGAGGGGGTGTGGACTAGGGCCTGCTTCTCAGAGAGCCACTTGACATTAGCTTTCAGAAATGTTCAGGACTTTGGCCTAGCAATTTTCCATCTAGGACTCTACCTGAGAACAATGACCCAGGTGTGCAGGGACACACAAGAAAAGTCATTGCAATGCGTTTTATAATACCAAAAATTTTAAGACAACCTCAATATCCATCGATAGGGGAGTGATTAGACAAACTGTAGTCCATTCAGACTATGAAATACTATGTGGTGGATTTAAAAGAACAATGAGGTAGAGCTCTTTGTACTGACATGAATGAATCTCAAAATAACAAGCCTCCCTTGTTAAGATCACTCAACCAGTAGTGGGCTGGCGTCCGCTTACACTGGCTCCTGAGAGTCAACTGCATTCATCTCTTCCCAGCTTCGTGCTGGTGACAGCATATCAGTGGCTTGAAATCAGCCATGATGGAAGATATTTATTTATACCGTGGAAATTGGAACATGCTACAGATCAAAGCTTTTTTCCTAGAGAGCCAGATGTTAATATTTACCAGCATACCACTGAACGCACCCAACTCCAGACCCTATGTGTGCATGTGTGTCTCTGTCATAGTGTCAGAGGGTCTGGAAGGAATGGAGAGTCAGATGTTAATATTTACCAGCATACCAGACCTTATGTGTGCATGCATGTCTCTGTCATAGTGTCAGAGGGTCTGGAAGGAAACACGACAGGTTGGGAATAAGTGGCTCGGCAAATGCTCAAGAGCTGGGCTCTGGAGCCAGATGTCTGGGACCAAGTTCTGTCTCCAACACTTACAACCTATGAGACTTTGGGCAAGTCATTTAACCTTTCTGTGCCTCAGTTTCCTCATCTGTTAAGTGGACATGACAGTACCTACTTCCTGGAGTTGTAGGGAGTAGTGCTTGGCACATAGGAAATGCTCAGAATGTTAGTATAACCTCAGGAGACAGAGTGGGAGAATGACAGACTTTTGTGTTTACTTTATTTGTACCTGTACTATCTGTTTTTTTACACGTATATATTTCTTTTGTATTAAAATAAAAACCTAAAAGGTAAAACCAACAAACTCAATTTAAAAAGCGGTCAGAGTGCAGGAGAGACAGGTGTCCGTCCTCCCATCCTCCACTTCAACTTCCTACTCACCATCAGTGAAAAGAGGCTCAGGCAGCTTTCGGAAGAAGGACTTGAGTAGGCTGCTGATCACATTGAGGTCTTGCCAGCGCTGGGAAGAGGGCAAAGATGTTAGGCCACAGGCAGGCCAGGTACCCAAAACCCCAGTCCCCAGGTACCCAAAACCCCAGTCCCCAGGTCCCAGGCCAGCCTAGGCCCGGCCCAGGTGCCCATGCCTCCGTGCTAGTCCAGTCCAGTCCAGCTCAGCCCAGCCCAGCCCAGCCCAGCCCAGGCCCTTCCTGGGATCCACTCATGCCAAGCTCTTCCCAGACCAGGGGGATTTCTGCACTAAGAAGATTCATTGGGGACAGCAGAACAGAGTCCCCAGCTTGGTCCTAGCCCCCAGGCCACTTGGCCCCAGCCTCTCTCTGCTCCAGCCAGCCCCATGAGCTCCAGCATTTGCCACCTACAGAAAGTACCAGGTGCCTTCTTTGGTTCAGGCACTGTGAGGGACAGAAGTAAGCGAAACTCACCCCCATGCAAGCCTGCCCATTAGACTTCCATTGTGCCTGGTAGGGCCAGCTCCTGCTTCTCAGTGCTCTCCATTTATCGGAAAGTCATCCTTAGACCACCTCCACCCCCATCCCTGACATAGCACGTGTTCATGCCCAGTGCCTTCCTGTCTCAGCCCCTTTGCACTGTGCTCTGAACTCTCCGCACCCTGCCCTCCACATGGCTGGCTCCTCATCCTGCCTAAACATCACCTCTTCAGAAAGGCCTGCTCTGGCTGTCACAGCTAAAGTGGCCATCATTGCTGCTGCTCTGTCATCTGTATCACAGCCCTGACTTTGTTTCTCCATGGCAGTTACCACAATGTCATTATTGTACACATTCGTTCCTTTGTTCCTGCCTATCTCCCTGGCGTTGGAACTGTAAGCTCCATGGGTGGCAGGGCCCTATCTGTCTTATTTCCCACTGTGTTTCTATCACCCAGCTAGCTCTGTTAGCCTGGCACTTAAAAGGTCTAAGTCAGTAGTTCTTAACCAGGGCGATTCTGCCCCACCGGGACATTTGGCAATGTCTGGAACCATTTTGATTCACAGCAGGATGGGGGAGTGGCAGCCCTGGCATGTAGTGGAAAGAGGCCAGGGATGTTGCTAAACTTCTTCCAATGCACAGACAACCTCCCACAACAAAGACTTAATCTGTCCAAAGTGTCAAGGTTAAGAAAACTGGTGTAAATAAATGTTGAATACCAGAATGAATAAAAAACAGCCGAGGCATTTTCTCTTTGTCCACCAGGGGGCACCATTACCCTGCACAAAGTCAAGGATAATAACCTTGTGGGAACTGTTCAGAGTAACTCATGCTCAGAAAGCAACCTAGTAGCCTCGACTGAGCCTCAACAGAGACAGGCAACTTCAAAGACACACAACTCAACAATATACATGCTTGTTACAATGAATCCATAGCTTAACGCCCGACTATCAAAATATACTACCTTCCCTACAGGCTCAAGAGAAATTAGATTCACCCTGCAAACAATGCTTAACTTCCAGCACCCTCCCTCCCCAACAACAAATGACACCACTGATGTGTAAGACAAAACCACACACACTCAATACACTTGCACACCCACACCCTGGGCTCTCTTCTCCCTCCTAAGGCCCAGATAATGTGCTTTGGTGCATACTTTACCCCTACCCAATGCAGCACCTGCACACCTCCCTCCATTATCCCCTGGCCCTGATGTGTGGGCTCTTCTCATCTCCCAGCTGCCAAACCCAAGGCCTTGTCCTGTCCTTCTTGACTCCTCCTATGTGCAAGTATCTCCCCTCATCTCCATCCTCACCTGAGTTCCCCTCTCCCTCTGCCCGCTCAGAGCCTCTCCCTCGTATCCCTGGTGCCCACCCTCCCTCTGAACAGCAGCTCCCTCCATCGACTTACCTCCATGCCCCAGTATGACCCCATGGCCACTCTCCAGGCCACTCCTGGTCTAGTGCCTGATTATGCCATCACACCCATGTGAGTAACGTACCATCAACTCAAATCCAATGGGGCCACTACCTGACACAGCCTCCCTCTCCTGTCCTATATCCTAATTTCTTCCAGGGATAGATTTCACCAGCCCCCAGTTCAAATTTTTGGCTCTTCTTGCCCATCCTTCCTCTCTCTCATGCAACCAACTCCTAGAGCTTCTCCTATCCTCCTTATTCCCCTGGGACCACTGAGTCCTCCTGACCCCTTGCACTTCCAATATATCAGTAATTTCTTTCCTAGACTCCTGCTCAGGGCCTTCCTCATTCATATCCATTAGGTATAAGCTAAAGCACTATTCTTTCTCAAACCCCACTCTCATTTATGCTTTTCCAGCTGAAGAATCATCAAAGGCTCACTATTCCATTAGATCAAGGTCAAAGGCTTCAGTGAAGCCATGAAAATCCCTCTCTTCCCTGCCCTGGGCCAAGCCCAGGTGGTAGGTTCATTCTCTGTCCTGACATTCAGATTCTTCTCTGGGATTTTGGAAAATCCCATCGTGCCTTGCCTGGGCTGCCTTCTTGTCCACCTGCTCTCTCCTATTCATCCTTCAAAGATTCAAAAACTCAAACCTACCATCTGTTCCAGCCCTCAGCATCTTCTCCTTCCTCATCACACAATCTGGTCCTCATGAGAGATCAGCCTTTTCTCTTGCCCACGATTTCACACATACTTCTCTCCCCATTCCCTTCCCAAGGGCAGGAAGACTGTCATGTATCACATGAGGCTTCACGGTATGTGACTCATGGGACTTCACTGCCCAGATATATGGTTTTCCAAAAACCTCTTTTTCAGCAGCCTCTTTTGTCAAATGAAATCGTATACGAAAACCCAATAGAGAGAGGTTTCTCTAATTCAAGCACAGATGGGGGGGTCTTGACCTGGCCCTGGTCTCCCACAGCACCTCTGGGGAAACTTATGCTTCTGGAAAACATAATCTGAGAAACACTGGCCCTGCTGAAAACTCTTTTAAGTGTGGCTGTCATGTCCCTTCAATGAGCTGGTCTCTTCTCATCCGATTAGCTTCTTCTATTCCTGTGTTGCAGTCCCCCAAATTGCTGACTGCTCCAGAAAATACCATATACTTTCCCTCTTCTAAGCCAGGGACTTGCAAACCATAGCCCATAGGCTAAATCCACCCAGCAGTCTGTTTTTGCATGGCCCTTGAGCTAAGAATGGATCTTATACTTTTAAAAGATTGTGAAAAGAAAGAAAGAGAGAAAGAGGAGGAGGAAGAAGGTATGCAACAAAGACTATATGATAATCAAAGCCTGAAATATTTATTACCTGGCTTTTTACGGAGAAGGCGCGTTGAACAGCGGCACACCTTCAGAGTTCATGCCTTTGCCAGGGCCATTCCTTCTGCCTGGAATGCCCTATCCTGGCTTTCACTGGCTTTTAGTGAACTCTACTCATCCTAAGGCCCAAAACTCTTGTTGCCCTCAAGCCTCTGCCTCAGGGCTCCCAGGCCATGATTGCATCTATCTTTCAGCCTCCGCTAAGGTGATGCTTATCCCCAGTGGTGCCCAGCACATCTCAGGGTACAAAGAACACAACAGACACACACACCACCTCAGCCCTCTCCCCAGCACTCCACCAGCTGCACCCACCTCATCCTGTAGGTTGATATCACCAGGCCCACGGTTGAGCTGCTCCTGCAAGCTAGACACCACTGCATTGTTGCCCGGCACTCGGTAAATGCCCGTGGACTCCAGTCCCCGAGCCTCCACGACGCGACAGCATGCAGCCACGATCAGGGGGACGAGCTAGGGACACAGGCAGGTGGGAGTGTTAGAGAATGTGAGGGCAGCACTCTCCGCCAGTGGGCCGGAGGAAATAGAAGGCCCAGATGAGGACAATGCAAGGCCCGGCTGCTGCCAGGAACCCTATGGGGGGACAAAGGCCCTCGCTGCCTCCAGTTTCAGGCCTAGAAATAACACCCAAGCCTTGCTCTGGTCTGAGAAGGGGTCAGAGAATCTGGGCTCTGCCTCAGCAGTGCTGTTCCTTTCCTGGGCTTCCCAGCTGTGTCTGTAAGGAGAGGAGGACAGCTACTTCCAAAGTCCCTTGCAGCTCTGACTTCGGTGCCCTCTTTTCTGCTTGCTTTACACTGTGGCGGGACCTACCTGGTTCTCTGTGGCTGGCTGGCACTCCTCGAGCCGGACTCCAAACGCCCTGGGGGCTGCCTTCTTGTTCTTCTTGATAATATTGATGCCCCAGGGGCTTTTGGGGATGGCAACACTGTCATCTGGGGGTGGGCAGAGAGGGCCAGAATAAGCTGGGCTAGAGGAGGGGCAGCAGCCAAGCAGCCACATTCACCCGCCACATCCACATGTGTTTGGACATGTGGGGACTCCATGAGAGAGTCACCGAGATGCTGAGGGCCGACAGGAAGTTATATCCCAAGTACAAAGGCGGGAGGGATGAGGGTGTTCACTCCAGGGGAGAGAGGCCTCAGAATAATGTAAAGACTTGTGTGTGGCCTCCAAGGCTAACACAACAAGGTGAAAACCATAGGTTCTGGTTAAGCCAAAGGAAGAACTTTCTAACAGCCAAAAGTGTGTGAAGATGGAAAAGCCTGCCTCCAGAGAGGACAGACCTCCTGCCCTTGAAGGGATACGGCAGAGAATGTCTTAGAGGGAAATCAACTCCAGGCCCTCCAAGCCCCTGAGACCCTAAAAGCAAACACACGTGGACAGACACACCCACAGAGATACACACACACACACACAAACACACACACGCATGCACACACACTCACAGGCCCTCTCCTCCCATGCAGACCAACAGAGTTGACCCCCACCCTCCCACCTCCATGCATATCACCCCCTTAGCAGCCACCTCTTACCCTTGCTTCCTGCAGGCTGGTCCTGAGTCCTGAAGCCACGTGCCGCACTCTGTTTGAGGAACTCAGACTTGAGGCCCCCCAGGCCACGAGAGCCTTTGGGGGAAGAATCAGCTTTAGGCCCAGAGCTATGGCTGTGTAGGAAGAGGAGAAGAAGAGGGGTCTTCATCTGGGTGACACAGCATGCCACCTGCCCTGGCCTCTCCCCACTTTGGACCTCCCCTTCATCCCTGAGGAAAACCTCCACACCCTTCTGGGACTGGAGGCCTCATGTCCACCCTCTCTGCCCAAAGCAGATGGCAACTCAGGGGCTGTCCTCTAGCCTGGAGGTGAACCAGGAGGACAACCTCTGCCCCATTGCATGGCCAGGACTGCTGCTCCATGAGAGCTGGGCCTCACCTCACTTTTCGGTAATCATTAAGCTTCTTGCTGATCAGAGCTTGATTGGCACAGCCGGGGTCCTGAAGGAGGGGAAAGAGAAAGCAGATGCCATCAGTGCCCACAGTCAGCCTGCCACAGGGCTCATCCCTGACCCCTGCCTTGGCCTCCCTTCCCCTCTCCTCCATCTGCCAACTGGAGGGCACAGACCCTGGAGCAAGAAAGACCAGGGTTGGACTCCCAAGCAACCCCTCATCAGCTGTGTGACCTTGGGTAACACACTTAGCCTCTCTGAGCCTCAGTCTCCTCAGCAGTAACATGGGGGGATGTAATATGGCAAGTTCAGATTTGGGGTGCAGAATTATGCACACAGCACTCCTTGTACTCCTGCCAAGACCCAGGGAGGTGGCCTTTGAAGGACAGCTATTGTGACAATGAAGGTGACCTGGGACCCCTGACAGTGTCCTGATAGGGACATACCCAGCCAGGCCTCCCAGAGCAAAGGCCCAGATTCCAGGTACTTTCCTCCCTGCAGTGAGGAAAGACAATGTCCTGCAGGCAGAGCCTGCTTCAGGGAGAGGATATATCCTCAGCAAGAGGGTCTGTGGCCTAAGGCTGTGCACTAGCCCTCCCGCCCGCCACCTGTGGCAAGGACAGGTGCACACCTAGACCAAGCCCCAAGCCCAGGACCCCCATATCATTTTGTGCAGGTGTGCTGAGGGGATAAAAGGGGGTGAGTGGAGGTGGAAACCCCAGCCCAGGCGCCTGGAATGCAGCTGCCCAGGAAAGGGCATCATTTTTAAAATTCTCCCAAAGTCCCTGCCAAAGCCTTGGCTCAACCCCTGCTGCCGGCTGCCAAAGGCCAAGCCTCTTGGCCTCCTCCCAAGGTCAATGTGTTCATGTCCCTGCAGACAGGCCAGCCCTGTCAGAAGGGCCAGCCACAGTTCTGGCACAGGGGCCCCTCATTCTGTAACACACTGCTTAGTAGACGCGCAACACCCCCCTTCCCCCCGGAACCGGCAGCAAGAAGCCGAGGCTGGCCTGGAGCTGACCTCTTGGTGTTAGAGTTGCCCAAGGCAATCATAACAATAACAATAATAATTACTGTAATTCCCACAGTTATTATTACTGCCAGTCATGGCATACTAAGGACACTGGGTGCTCTGTGAGTCACTGTGCATTTTCTTTTCACACCAAATTCAAGGTTGGGTACAGAAGTAAGGTGTATCCCTGTTAGCCTATTTTATGGATTAGGAACTGAGGCTCAGAGTGGTAAAGATAGGTCCGCAGCAGGTGAGAGGTGGCCCTGGGGCCTGCCCTGGCCTCCCTGGCTCCGCCGGGGCTGGGCCAGGCCCTCACCTCGCCCTCGGCCCTGCTGTTCTCTCGGATTGCTCTGATCCAGCCCAGCATGTCATCCCGATCCTCAGCCTGAAAGAGATATTCACAGAAGTCAGCGGTGGTCAGCCGGAACACGTGCCTCCTCTTGGTCTCGCTGTAGGAGATGTCCACCAGGCAGGAGCCGATGCAGACGGGCGCCGCCTCGTCCTCACCTGCGACGGCCGCCGCCGCCCCT